TTCTGACACCCCTGGACCCGTCTCCACAAGAGCTAAGTAGAAGCATTCTCATGTCTCTGCACATGACTTCCCGGCAGGACAGCCATAGGTGCCATATCTGCTCAGCAAGCACCGCTTATGAGCACCCAAAGGATGACGCTGGAGATGCAGAGTTATGGACCTGTCTGAGGCCAGCGGAGATGGGGAAATATGAGGAAGGATACAGGATCGCTTAGACAGCAAATTATTGCCCCAGGATGTAGTGAACAGAAGTGAAGAATGGGAAGGAGGGTCAAGCTAACGCTCGGCATTCTCTTTCTTAAAGCCCCTCTTTGGGAACTGGGAAGTTGCACGGTTGGCAAAGTGTTTGCTGTGCAAACATGCAGACCTGAGCTCAGATCCCCGCATGTTAAAATTGGCATGGAGCTCTGCACCCGTGATCCAGAGCTGGAGGATCCCTGGGGCTGGCTGGCAGTAAGCTCCAAGTCTGGTGAGAATCTCTGTTTCAAAAGGTAGAAAGAGATTCAAGAAGACATCAGCGATGGTCTCTATACACAGGCATACACATATGCATGCACACATGCCTCCCCAAACATGTACAGATGTACAAACATGTGCATGTATGCACCCCTGCTACTCCAGGACACACAATCACACACACACACACACACACACACACACAATTCTGGAATTGTCTGAAAGAATGGACGGCAGTCGGTGTTTTGATGATCAAGGCTGGCTTGAGTCCTAAGTGAATACAGATACTCTGAGTGCCTTGTGTCATGGCTGTTGGTAAGCACATAATTCCCACGGGAGCTAAATAAGTCACCAAGGAGAAGGAGATAAGAAACGGAGATAAAAATGAAGAGAATGAAGGATAAGGGACTAGATGGAATTTAGGTGGTAGTTGAGCATGTAGCCTCTAGGTACATGGATACCCTGGTGGGAAGGTAGGTAGCTAAGGTGCAGTATAAATATACACAGATGAGTGAATAGACAGTAGAAAAAGTAATGAATTGGGCAAGGCAGTATGGGTCATAAACGGATTAGTGGGCAGTAGGTTGGAGTAGGTGGGGGCTGAGGAAGGTGTGCTGGAGGGACATAGGAAGTGGCCAGCAGGTGACTAGAAGGAAGTGTGGACGATAAATAGGACACCAGGTGAGCCACTCAAGGAAATAGCAACAGAATCAGAAATAGTCCCTGGCTGGGTCAGGAGCCAAGTTCTGGGGCAAGAAGATACATAGCAGGCTGGCTGAGAAAATTCTCTGGAAAGTGGCAACTTCCGGTACAGGCACTTCTCCTTTTGAGGCTCCTGGGAGTGAAAGGACCACAAGCTAACTGCCGGGAGGCTGAGCTGAGTCCTCTGTGAAGCCTACCCACTTCCAGGAGGCTGGGAGCAGGGCAGGAGCTGGGATGGACACCTGGGAGAGGGAGGACTCTGGAGGAGGGGGGAAGCCAGGATCTGCAGCTCCCTCATCCTAACCTCTGAATGAGGAAGGAAGCTGGTGGGAATACCCCTTTCCAATAAATCAGACGACATCCTAGAGGGAGGCTTTATGCTGTGGTTTACAGAATAGAATTTACATGAGGAAATCCCAGAGGCACCAAAACAGAGTGTAGTATTACAGTACTCAGAACAGAGCAGAGTACAATCAAAAACAGGCCGGAATCAGGAGCCTGGAAGAGATGTCCCGCAGCCCAGAGAAAGGAGATCAAAAGACCTAGCTCATGGACAAAACCTGAGGTTGGAGCTGTCCTCTCCTGTTCACACCAGACCGTGGTCACCTAAGACACCAGCCTTGATGTCTCCGAGTCAGAAGCAGCCTCATGTGACTGAGAAGGTTTATGTCTCACATGAGACACTGTCTCCAAACACACATAACAGTGAATCTGTGACTATTATTGCCTCCATTTTACATATAGTTCTTCGTCAGGGCCCTTCCTAGTTTTCCCTTCCCTGACCTGTGACTACCCTTGCAGTGGCTGTCATCTCTAGCTGGTTGACTTCTCTCTGGGCGTCTGCTTTGATTTATCATTGAGCTCATTGAATTCCCTAGTGATGGGACCATGAACTCCAGTCTCACTGGAACTGTACGGCACTATGTAGATCAGAGCCAGCCTCTATAAATTACCAATTTGTATGAACATAAAACTGTTCAAAGAAGATACTGCCGTAACAGAAACCTTCAGAGGTAGGTGCACCGGGAGTAACACCATACCTAGCTGTAACACCATACCTAGCTGTAACAGTTAATTGCCTACAATTTCTATTTCCTTGACCAAGAAAATTCCCCTGTAGTTCTATATAACTAAAAGCAAAACACATACAGATCAAAATGTTCAGTTGAAAATTTAAAATGATATTTCAAATACATGTTAGTAGTTTTATGTTCATACAAGTTGATAATTTGCTGATGTGCCTGTATAGTATATTGTACGCCACTGTCATGGTCCAATGTACTTCTTTTATTGGCACTTTGTGTAACATACTGAATCTATATATTGGGCATATGAGACATATCATGATTAAAACATAGTCTTGTATCTGTGTGGAGCTTCTTCACAAATAATAAACAACATATGACATACACAAATAAATTATATAGATGGTGAAAAATGCCACTCTAGACAAAGGCTCAGGATGTGTGTGTGTGTTTAGGAGTCAAGCCCCAGTCTGAGGCAGAGGTGGCCTGGAGCGCAGGAAGAGAGAGCACAGGTATTATGTTACTTTGCCTCCCAGCCCCAGATGATCACACCCTGAAGCTACTTCCACTTTCTGAAGTCACGTGAGATCCAAAACAAAATCTTACACCCCAAGGGAGGAAATGGAATAATAATTTTTAAAAAGGAACCAGTGTATTCAGAACAAAGATGGGACATGGGGACTGAAGTTCAGGCAGCAGCTAAGGGAAGGAGCTTCCCCTGGTGGATGTCCAGATAAAGAGGGAGGGTCTCACTGCTGCCCCAGGTGTACGATTGTTCTAGTAGAACCACACTGGCTGCTTGCACCTTGATGGAAATCCAGAGAGATGAAAGGGACTAAAGGTTCCCCATTGTGTCCATGTCAAGAGAGAGAGAATAAAAGCTGTATTCAGAAGAGAAAATATATCACCAATCTGAGAATTTATACACAAGAGCAGCCAACCCAATTATATAATTAATGCATATGTCCTAGCAGAAACATGGACGAATCCAGCATTGTCTAGTACATGGATATCCATATCTCTATCTATCTATCTATCTATCTATCTATCTATCTATCTATCTATCTATCTCTATCTCTATATCTATCTCTATCTCTATATCTCTCTCTCCTGTCTCCGGCCAGATTGAGGAACACAGCTTGTCTGCCTTCCAAACTGGTCTCTGACACTTCTTACCCTGAGATGTCTAGCTTGTCTCTGCTTTGTGCATTAGATGAGGGATAGGTACATTCAAAGGGCTGGGATGGATGGAAGAGCCAAGCAGGGAGTGCTGGTGTGTGTGGGGGGGGGAGAGAAGAGAAGAGAGGAGAGAGAGAAAGGAGGAGAGAGAGAGAGAGAGAGAGAGAGAGAGAGAGAGAGAGAGATTGAGAGAGAGCCCTAGACTCTAGAAGTACCAATTGCAGGGAATAGCTTATGTTTCCAAGTTGAAGCCAACAGGGCTGGAATCTGTGGCCCCAATACCAATACCACAACAGCACACATGGAAGACAAAACAACCTCTGACTTCAGGGATTATCTGTTTGTTCCTGAGGAGGAAGCCAGGCATGATGCAGGAGTGACGGTGGGAGCAGAGACAGTCACTACTGGTGTCTCTCCTGACTTAAGAAGCAGAAGCAGGCCAGGATGGAGCTCAGTGGTGAAGCACACGCTTGACACATAAAGCCCTCGCCTCCAGACTCAGCACCCAAGACAGTGAACAAGACAACACATTCGATTGTCAGCAGTAGTACCCTTAAAACCAAGAGACTGGAACAGGTGAGGCGACCAGTGGCTAAAGCTGCTGACCACCTGGGTTCAAGCCTGGAACACACCCACATGGAAGGAGAGAACCAACTCCCACATGTTGTCCTTCCACACACATGCTGTAACTCCCTCACAAAGAGATAAATGTAATTAAAAAAATTAAGACATTCAGTCTCTCTCCTTGTGGACTGGGTCTATTTCTCCATATCTCTGTTTCTGTCTCTTTTCATTCTCTTGCCTTCTGTTTCTCTTATTTTTTTCCTCTCTCCTTCCCCCTTGGTCCACCTAGGCATCTCTGGTTTTCTTTTTCTCTATGCCTTTGTTTCTCTCTCTCTCTCTCTCTCTCTCTCTCTCTCTCTCTCTCTCTCTCTCTCTCTTTCTCTCTCTCTCTCTTTCTCGCGCACGCGCTTGCACACACACACACACACACACACAGACACACACACACCAGTTGCACATGCACACATACACTGCCTTCTGATCTCCAGTTCTTTAGCCCCCTCGTTTCCATGACTACCCCTCTCTCTACATCTTTTTCGTCTTTTTTTTTTTTTTTTTGAGACGAGTTTTACATAGGCCCAGGCTATTCTCACTATACAGCCAAGGATGAGCTTGAATTTGTAATTCTCCTGATTCTAGCTCCCAAGTCCTGAGATTACGAATTTGAACTACTACTTCCCATTTCAGCAATTCGGGAATTGAACCCAGCACTCTGTGATCTAAGACAAGCACTGTTCCAACTGTACTGTTTCCAGATACAGTTTCTCTATATTTGGCATTCAGTGACTATTTGTATCGCTTCCTGTCTTCCCAATAGATGGTGTGTCTGTTGGAAGCAGGAGCTCCCTGCCCGCTGTACACCTTGGAGCCCGTTGTTATGGAGCTTAGGCATGGACTAAGCAGGTAGTCAGCAGTATGCCCCGAGGATACTCTGATCAGTGTGGAAAGCATGCTACATGCTTGCAGCACCCAGCCACCCAGGTTTTCCAAAAGCTCACCCTGTATCCTTTACACATATTTTCCTTTCAGAGACAGGACACACATCCTTGCCTTGTCAAAGGGATGCCAGCTTACCTCCATGGTCCCTGTAGCTGGTGCCCCTCTCTACTGTGGGGGCCTGCAGACTGTTGCAGACCCAGCTCAAGAAAGCCAAGTCTAAGTCCCCTTTCTCCAGCAGGGTCAGGGAAATCTTCCTGGCCAGAGCCTCACCATCAGGCTCCCGGAGCAGGGCACAGTGGTATTCCCGTGAGAGGAGCTCTTCTTCCAGCAGGCCATCCAGGAGGGCCCGTACCTGCCGGGGCTGCTGACTGGAGAGAAGGGTCTGTACCTGGGCCAGGATGGCATGGAAGTGGTTCATGGCAGTGCTCTGAGACAGGTCAGCTGCCTGGAGTCACCTCTCATCCAGCCTTGCAGCATCCAAAACATGAAGTGAGACCCAGGATGAAGGAACCTCTGCTGACAGTGTAGCCTTTTCCTTCTTAGGAATGTTTCCTCATTCTTGTGCAGGCCAGGGTGCCTGGTGAACGGAAATGCATTCAGGGTGACTCGGACAGCGATAAAAGTACAGAATTTCTGCTTTTCTTTCTGCTTTTAAATTTTATTTTATTTTTTTATAGACAGAGAAGAAGCTCCCTGAAGGGTGGAAAAACTATCACAGATAGGCAGATCACTACAGATTAGTTACTCTGTAACAACAACAAAAAAAAAAAAAAAAAGGAAAGGAAAAACAACTGTAGCTCACTTGGGGGAGCGATGGTTTTTCATCTGCTATGCCTTGGGTTCAATCCCCAACACAACATAAACTGGGTGTGGTGGCACAAGCTCATAGTTCCGACACTTTGGATCTAACACTCTGGAGGAAGAGGCAGGAAGATCGGGAGTTCAAGGTCCCTTTGGCTACCCAGTGACTTCAAGCCTACCCTGAGCTACACAAGGGTCTGCCTCAAAAAGAATAATATTTAAAAGGGGCGGGGATTTCATGGCTTTGAAGCTCTCAATAAATGGAATACAAAAATAGAAGCTGGAGCCAGCATGGTGGCTCACATCTGTAATCCCAGTAGTTGGGAGAAAGACACAGGCTAATCAAGGCTAGCCTCAGCTACCCAGTGAGTTCACATTCCATCTGGGACAATCTTAAAAAACATGTCTGGGAAGTGGAGTGGACACAGGGAATGGTAACATGAGTGGCCCAAATTTTGTGGATAAACTTCTCTGACACCTGGCAGGCAGATCCATGTGTATATTGCAGAGTGGCATCCCCAGGAACTCAGTCAAAACGTTTCCAGAGATGCTTAACTGACGGGGGAAGATCTCTCCTGAATGTGGGTAGCCCCATCCCATGGGCCAGGAGTCTGGACTGAATAAACAAGAAAGGGTAGCTGAACAACCGTCTCTCTCCTCTCCCCTCTCTCCTCTCCCCTCTTCTCCCCTCTCCCCTCTTCTCCCCTCTCCCCTCTTCTCCCCTCTTCTCCCCTCTCCCCTCTTCTTCCCTCTCTCCTCTTCTCCTTTCCCCTCTCCCCTCTCCTTTCTCCCCTCTGTTTCCTCTCCCCTCTGTCCCCTCTCCTCTCTCCTTCTTTCTCTTTGCCTCTGTCTCTCTCTGTCTCTCAGTCTCTCCATCTCTCCGTGTCTCTGTCTCTCTGTCTCTTTCTCTCTCTCTCTCTCTCTCTCTCTCTCTCTCTCTCTCTCTCTCACACACACACACACACACACACACACACACACACGCGGATGTAATGGGAACTCCCATCTCTAGCTCCTGCTGCCATCTCTTCCCTACCGTGACTATAGCCACACGAGATTCATCCTTCCTTAAATTGCTTTTGTCTAGTGTTTCATGATTGCAACAAAAAGGCAACCAATGCAGACCCATAAAAGTCAACCTGTCGAGGTGTACAGATAAGGGGAAGGTTTTCATAGCTGCACATGGAATAGCACGCTCTGTGTGGAAATCCTTCCAGAGAGGATGCTGTCTGTGACTCTAGCTCCTGGGGATCTGATACCTTCTTCTGACCTCTACAGAAACCTGCAGTCATGTGCACAAACCCACAGATACACACACACACATAAATTTAAAAAATAAATATTTGTTTAAAATTATCTTTCTACACTGTGAAACCCAAAATGGTGGTCATGGTGATGGTGATGATGGTGGTGGTGGTGAGGATGGTGGTGGTGAGGATGGTGGTGGTGGTGGTGGTGGTTGAAAAAGGGGGCTGGCTCTCTTTCTTGTTTGGCTATTGGCCCTTAGGTGCTTCCTTCTTCCCCCAGTCATCTGACTACCATGGTGGCACCGAAACTCTGCCTGGAGAAACATTGCTGTAGGGCCTGTAGTCAAAATTTTGTCATAAAATGAGACCTGGATCTTGATCCATTGACTCATGGGATGCTTAGGGAGGAGGAGCTTGGTGACTAGGGAATCGAGTGATGCTGAGGAGCACTCCTGTGCGACAATGTGGCCACCTCTCACGCTGCGGCTTTCGGGGCTAGGGCTGTCCAGTGAGTCAATTGTCTGTCTCTACCTCCTGCTGTGGCTTGGAGCTCAAAGATCATGAGAACCCAGATGACTTCCCCAGAGAGAAGATCCCTCTATGGACCCGTCATCCTCACACTGATTCAAGGATGACATTCATCAAGACCCTGAACCAAAGCGTGTAGTCACAGGACCTGGTCTAGAGACCCAAAGAAGGGCCACCTATGGGTTTGTAAAGCAGAGTGACAGGAACTTACCCTTCTCCAGGGTGGCCACTTCCTTCTGACTGGCCAGAAAGCCAGCTCTCCAGGTCTACAGGCAAGGCTGGGCAAGTCCCTATGGCTGCTGCCTGTCTGCTCACAGGCCATGCCTTGCTACATTTCAGCCTGAGTCACCTTAGCCACTCTCTAGGGATATGTGGTGCCGCCTCTACTTCTTGGATCTTCCCCCACAGCACGTAGAATGCACTCCTGGCTTGTAACTGAAGAGATACAGGAAGAGTGGGCAGGAACAGACTGGCAGTGCCCAGAAAGATAGCGTGATCTGTGATCATATGCGAAGGCAGGTGTGGTATTCAGAAGACAGAACTCTGATGGGGCGTCGGTCAACCTTACCACCCCATTCCGCTCCTTTCCACCATCACCACCATCTCCACAGCCGTCACAGTAATAGTCACCATCACCGTCTCTATGCTATGTTCATGACCACTTCCCCTTCTTCCGCCTTCATCTCCACCATCTCCATCACCACCATCCACTTCTTCCCCACTGCCATCATTAGCCCGTCAGTCACCCCCTACCCCTTCCACCGATCTCACCTTCTAGGCACCATATTTTCTCCTGCTGCCCCCTCTGTCATCTGCCCTACCACCTTTGTCATTTCTATTAGCCCCACCATGGCCTTACGTTATCTTCTCTGCCTTCTCTGCCTTCTCGATTGCCATGGCCTCCCTAGCTCCAAACTCCGTCATGGACAACACTGACCCCACGTTCCTCTATGAGGTAATCTCTAGCATAGCCAGGGACCTTGGTGTAGTCCTACTTTCACTATGATATAAGGAAGACAAGATTCAAAGTTGTAAAGTGTCAGTGTGTGTCCTCTAGATCCCCTATACATGGAAGTATGGGGCTACTTGTTACCACTTGTGAGTATGTGTGTGAGAGAGTGTGTGAGAGTGTGTGTGAGTGTGTGTGAGTGTGTGCAGCTGTGCGCATGAGAGAACATGTGAGTGTGTGTGATCATGTGTGTGTATGCAAGTGTGTATGAAAATATGTGTGTGTGAGAGTATGTGATTGTGTGAGCATGTATGTGTGAGTGTGCATGTTGAGAATGTACATGTGAAAGTGTGTGTGTGAGGGTGTGAGGGTGTGTGAGGGTGTGTGATTCAAGTTTGGAGAAACAGAGCTTGCTGGTCCATTTTCTCTACAAGAAGCCAAGACATAGGAAAGCAATCTGGACATTACAGGAACCGGAAGCTTAGAGATATTAAGTAACCTACGAAAGCTCACACAGTCCACAAGTGCTGGGATTCATGCGGGGCATGGATACCAAGGCCTGCTAGACTTCAAGTCCTTTGTGAGATAGCAAGGCTGTGCGGGGCTGGGGAGATGGCTCAGTTGGCAAAGGTTTGCTTTTCAAGAAATGGGGGCCTGAGTTAGACTCTCAAAATTCATGCTCAAACAAACAAAATCTCGGCATAGTGACACACACTTTTGATCACAGCACTGTTGAGGTAGAGAGAGGTAGATCTTTGGGGCTTGCTGGCTGGCTAACCTAGTAAGCTGTAACCTAGTAACCTGTAAGCTTCAGGTAAAAATTCGGATATCCTAAGGCACCTGAAGTTGACCTGTGGCCTTCACCCATGTACACAGGAACAAGTACACACACATACACACATTTTCAAACATGGCCTCTGAGACGTGACTTACTGGTCCCTTGGAGAGAACCCACCATGGTGGCAGCCTCCAGCCTCCTGCAGGTGCAGTCAGCTTGTAAGTAGACACCCGGTGCTTCCCACCCAGCTTTGGACAGTGAGACATAGGATGACACAGATCTGGACCTGTCTAAACACTATGGCACTCTGTGTGGCCAACCCAGCTGAAAGCTTTCCCTACAGAAACCCCCTTCTTTCTTCTTTTTCCTATGTCAGACCTACCCACTCTCCTGAATTGTCTGTCCCACACCCTACTGTCCTTTAGAGGTATCATATCTGAGAGCCTCTGGTACCCCAATTCTGTGTTGGTGTTTGCTTTTAGGGAGCTCTCACATGACACAAAGATACAAGTTTACACCACAGCCAGGGAACTGTTTTCCCTCTGCCGGTAGAATGGACTTCAGTCAGGCAGAATGATCCTATATACACTGGTACACACTACTACAGCACACTGGTATCTTCTTGCAACTATAAACTACTGTAAGTGGACTATAGTGGTATAACTCCTCACACCAAAGTAGCCATGATGAGGAGAGAGATGGACTTTTTCCTAGCATCTGTGAGGTTTTCTCTTTCTCTCTCTCTCTCTCTCTCTCTCTCTCTCTGTGTGTGTGTGTGTGTGTGTGTGTATCTCTCTCTCTGTGTGTCTATGTCTGTGTGTGTGTGTCTATCAGTCTGTGTCTGTGTGTCCGTGTGTAGGCCAGAAGTTTAAATGTCTTTCTCAGTCCCTGTCCATTCTGGTTTTGTAAAACAAGAGCTCTCACTGGCTTGAGGGTTTCAGTCCCAGGGATCTGCCTGTCTCTACCTCTCCAGCACTGGATGGCAAGCCTGTGCCACCACACTGGGCTTCTTTATGTTGATGCTGGAGAACAAACTCAGGTGCTCACACTTGCAAGGCAACCACTTGACCATAAAACTGAGCCCTTTCTTCGGTCCCCTTTCTTATCTTGCTTATGGCAATCTGTTAGCAGCTACTCCCCCTCCCCCACCATGAAACCC